GTTGTATGCTGAATTTACGTTGTTTTATTTTAAATGAATAAACTTTATAAACTAGCTATTTGTATTTTGTTTAATCTTAATATAATTCAAAGAAAAAAGTAAGCACTATGAGAAAAACTATATCGTCATTAGGCCAAACTGCTAGTGTACCAAGTCAAATGGCTTGGCAGGCCAACTTTGGCCCRCGGGCCCCAATTTGGCACCTCTGGTCTAAAACCTATGGATCATGAAAGGTGGCAGGCAATATCCATTCCTTCAAAGATTGCAAGGTCTTTGTCGTGCTATAAAAGATGTGTCTTTAGGAGGTGAAACAACTGTAAATATTTATTAACTAAACAGCAAATTAACTTTACGACCTGTTTCTTCCAAACTTTTCACCTCTCAGTCAAACAGTATATTAGATTCTAACAATTTAAATGTATTGACCATATTGATTGTTGACACTTGGTAGGTCAACGCTGTGAGTATGAGATGTCACGAAAGTTTGCAGACTGATGCATCAGAACCGATGAAGCCTTTTGGATGAGAGGTAAAAAAAAAAAAGAAAAATAAAGTATACTCAAGCATTTAGGATTAACCTGGATAACTGAAAAGCTACATCAACATACAGTATGAGCTCAAGTATAGTATTAAAACATGTTACAGTTGCAGAAATTAAGAAACTAACATTCAGTTCTGTTTTCTACTGAAGTGGCTAAAAAARCATGTTAGTTAAAATTATTGTTACACATTTTTTGCTTCTTTGTATACACCTGCTTAAGTAAAATATTGCTAAAGTGTGCTGATAAGACATCGTCGAGCCTGTTCATGCCCAAGTGAGGGATAAAGTGAATGGGTTTGATCAGGAAGTCTCCCAGGATGTAGCTGCAACACAACCTGAGTTCCTCTGACTCAACACACCCGTGGGGAACTGCAGTGTGGGTGTTCCTTCAGCTGTGCACTGCAGGATCTATCTAATGCATTAGAACATTACAGKGGGAGGGAAACAACGCAAGACAAGTAAATGCACTTCAAAGGCAGAGAGRGTTGACAGGATAAAGTATCAGTGGACTCTCGCAGCAAGGGATCTGCCCGAAAGGCCTGTKCATATCTTCAGATAAGAAGYAGACAAGCTGATCGGAAACAGCTCTCAACCTCTCTGTGCACTACTAGCTCTGCTGGTTAGCTTGTGTTTTACACGGAGCTCCGACTAGCAGACAGAGACAAGGGAGGAGCGGTGCCCCGCCAGCTGACACCAGCGAGCCATAACCCAGCTACACAGAGGGATGTTCGGTACTGWCAGTGCCACGGACACCCTTCACAAATCAAAACACCACCCACTTTCTTGCTGCTAGCTCCGGAGCCGCTACCTCAGGCGGCGACAGGAGGAGGAGGAGGAGGCGGCGGCGGCGGCAGCTAGCGCGCCGAGCTAATGTCAGCTAGCCCAGCCTGAGCGGAACGTTAGCGCGGACTAACCCGGATCTTACCGCTTCGTGTCGGGTTGTCAGCGTCCTAGAGCAACGGGGATGAAGACACGATGCTCCGACGCTTATTTAACAGCATCGCAAACGGGAATCCCGCGGTGTAAAGTCCATCTCCGCTGCTTTTTTTCCTGCCATCCGCCCCACTTCAGCACCGACTGCCACCGAGCCCCTGGATGCACTGCGCAGGCGCGCTGCCGCCGCCGCCGCCGCTCCGAGGCTGCAGTCCGACAGCAGATGCGCTACTGAGGCTCCACACTGATAACGTCCCTGCTGCACGACAACCGCAGCACTACACACTGAAATACACAACAGGACATTTAAACAGTCCAGCATTAGTTTTTATGCCAGTGTAAAACTCTAGCAAACTCAAACGCAGTCAAACTGAAATAGTAAAGTTAGAAGGCCCCTATTTAGAAAACCTTAAGCCTTGCAAACTCTAAAATCAAACACAAAAAAGATGGGGGAGTCTAAGTTTACGCCAGTAGTTTTATTGGATTTTATTTTATTTATTTTTGTTAAAGGAATTCTGAAATACAGGCACACACTCAACGCACCTATTTTCTGCACGTTTTAATCAATAAATCTCATGTAGCCTACTAATGCATCAAAAACTGTCAAACTTCTCAAAAGACTTACATGGACGTCTCCATTGTTGACTTGTTTTCTGTCACTTCTGCTTTTCTAATCAAACAAACATGTGTAATTAGGCTTAGGCTAACAATTTTTTTTCATGCAACTTATTTATGATAGATTTTCTGGCAGATATTCATGCTATCGCAAWATTATCAGACAATCAAACGCTTTTATAAACAGGTCAAAGACAAAAGTTTGTTTGTTATTTCAAATAAAGTTCAGCAGGACATATATGTTAGATATATTTCTTTAATATATCAAAATAAACATGTTTTAATTGTTCTTTAAATAAAACAGTGTTCCTACTAACAAGTTATAATTATAATCAAAGTCACAATTTGATGTTTTAATAATTATTATGTGTCTTTTAATAGCTTATAAGATTCATAAATTTTTTTAGTGAATGAGTGGACACTGTTGATTAGATAGTAATTCATTTTAGGCATGCAATACTGTATGTGTGTACTATAATGTTTAAAAATATTTTTTTACATTTACAAAAAAAAAGTTGAAACAACTTGTTTTAAGTCAAAAAGTGTTWAAAGGTGCTTGATTTAATTAAATGTTTTATTTTATGAACATGCTGTACAAGATGATGAGTGAATTCAATTTAAATTCATGTTTCAATTGAAATACAAAACTGACTGCATGCAGTTCTTTCCAGCCTCTAAACAAATATAGAATTTCACCCAGAATGTATGAAATACTGCTTAAACAAATAAAAATAACAGTTACATATTAGCCCATCTAGGGGGATCTGCTTTGAGAAGAATACAATCCTGTAAGACATTCTGATGGCTGAAAAATAAACTATAAAAACCATTGTAAACACAAGGGGGCACTAAAATGCTGTCCTGTCTCAATCATGCTCGACACCAATCGTCTTGCACACTCCTAAAACCTAAGACTGAAAATAGCAAACATAATTGCTGCTACTGATGATTGGATCTTAGTGCATATTAACTGCCCTTGCTTTTCAGCCCTGCATGCCCAAATAAGGTATAACTGCAGAAGCAACAGAAGGACTCTTTAAACACCTGATGTGCTCTGGMTTTAGAAACGGATGAGACAGAGGTTCTTAAAGGAAGACTGTGAAAAGGTTAAGTATATATTTTTGTTCTAACGGTAAGACCCAAGTGGCTCAATAATTGGATTAAAAGCAGCTTGGATATTTGTTTTCTYGTTTTCTCTCACTAAGGATAATTGCAATCACTTGCACGTGGTCAAGATTCTGCAACGTTTAATTAAAAGTCCAGCCTCCCTTCAAGCAATGCAYATCGTTTTGGTCAAACAATCTTACGTGACTTAACAAAATCCTGGTAAATGTGTCAGTGCTCACTGTATACAGCGGGTAAAATAAGTATTGAACACGTCACCATTTTTCTCAGTAAATATATTACTAGAGGTGCTAATGACATGAAATTTTC